GGTCCGACCAGCCCACGCTCCCCTCCGGGACCCCCCTCCCCCTCTGGAGCACGGGGGCTTCACCACCACCGCTCCTGCCCACTGCAGTGGAGATGGCAGAGGAGCCCTGACCTGGCGGTGGGATTTGCCCCCAAAAGCATCCCCCCCACCCAGCAGCATGGCAGATCACAGTCCCGTGTTTCTCACTGTTGTTCGCTTCCTTGCGCGGGTTCTTGATGTACGCCGAGAACTTGGCGAAGATGTCGCTGCCCACATCGAAGGACTCCTTGTTCCTGGGGCTGAGGCGCGGATACCTGCAAGGGGATGCTGGTGTCCATGTGGGCAGGGATGGAGACAGGGATCCATCCATCCAGGTCCCCATGCCTGCAGGGACTACCCCCTTGCTGCTCCATCTCCTCCCCAGCCCTACCTGCGCCCAGGACCCCTGCGTTTCCTCCCATCGTTTTCCATCATAGCCCACCCATCTCCTCACAGCCGGACCCACTGCCACTCCTGGGGTTCACGGCCCCCTGGCATCGCAGCCTCCAGTTTTTTGGGGGGGAGCCAGCCCCCTCCCCAAGCTGCTCTCAGCACCCTGCCTCGGTTTCCCAATCGGCCGAGCCCTGCGCAAGGCTGCGGTGTGCCCCAAAACGGGGAAGGAGAGAGCTTGCAATTACGTGGGGGGGGCCAGGGTCTGCTCCAGGAACTCCTCGATCTTGATGAAGTCGGTTTTCAGCTCCCTGTTGAACAGCAAGAAGGGCGGGTTGGTGCCTGGCGCCAAATCCTTCAGCTCTTCAGGTTTCCTGGAGTGGAGAAAATAATGGGGGTCAGAGCCTGCATTTGGTCTGCACCCACAGCCAGGGGACAAGGACAGGAATGAAGGGGGCGTGGGAGAGGGCACAGGACTGGAGCGTCCCCACTCGCATGCTCTGATGGGTCTGGGGGCTGTGAAGCCCCCCCAGCCTCTGGGTGTGTCTCAGACTTTACCCACATCCAGGGGGACAGGGGCTCCCTGGCGTGACGGGCAGGGGCTGTCCCCTGGTGGGGGCTGTGCCGGGGAGTGTCCCCCATCTCACCTGGTCATGTCCACCGTGGTGACGTTGAACTTGACCCCTTTGAGCCACAGCACCATGAACAGGCGCTGGCAGAAGGGGCAGTTCCCAATGTTTTCTCCATCCAGACCAGCCTGCGGGAAAGCAGAAAAACGAGGATTTTAACCCATTTTCCCACCCAGCCCCAATGGGTGCCTGGAGGTGGGAGCCCCCAGAGCCAGTTTTGAGAG